TCCATGCATCCTCTCATCCGGAAAGTCCTCTTTCACTTCCCATCCTTTCTTTATAATAAAAAGGGTAGGAAGGGAATGAGGACTAAATTAGGCCTCCGGGACGCACACTTATCAGACGAAACGCGGAATTGCTTCCACTTCACGCCTGTCTTCTGTGTCTACATCTATGTCAAATTTCATCAAGATTTGTTCAGCCGTTCCAGATCTTCTAACAAACATCCATCCATTTAAACTTTCGCATTTATATTATTAGTAAGATTTATTACATATGACTTACTTGACTTAAAGTCATATGTCCCCGTAGTGGGGCAGAGTTCACAGTGCGCCGCCAGTTCGCTCTATCTTGGGCTCTGCGTTTGGTCTCGGGCCATATCAGCCCAATCGCCTTCATTTCGGCAGCATTTCATTACATATAAACATACATTAATTGTTTATATGTTTATATGTTAGTAAAAGCTAACTAAATCATACTTATAATATTATAAATGCGAATGTATAGATGGATGTTTGTTTGAAGGTATCATCAAACGGTTGAACGGATTTCGCTGAAATTTGGCATAGATGTAGAGCATCTAGAACACATAGGCTACTAATTAAGTTTTTTTTTTAATTGCGATCGGACGGAATCGCGGGCGACAGCTAGTTTAAATATAACTATCAGTTATGTATGTGTACAACATATTTTATACCAGCACATGGGTAATTAAACTAATTATAAATAGGTAATTTACCTATTAAAACAAAATCGTCTAGATTATTTCGTTACTCGCTTATTTCAGGCTAGTGTGTACTAGCCTATTTGAAATTTTTAAAGGCATTGAACGTAGATTGAGCGATAAAATTATCTCAAAATATCTTTCCCTTCGGGAGCGCGCTCGTTTTATGTTACGTAATAAAAATACAACATCCATTGTAAAGACATTCTTTTGGTTGATAAAAGGATAAAATACATCCTGTTCCTACATATACAGCGTGTTTTGTTTGTAGACACACGTGTAGAGAAACATAATACAATGAATACTTCTTATCTATTTAAAGTAAAAACTAAGTAAAAAGATACACGCCGTACATCTAACATTATAAATGCGAATGTTTAGATGCATGGATATTTTTGTAGGTATCTCCGGAACTGTTCAACGGATCTTGATTGAATTTGGCGCAGATGTAGAGCAAAATCTAGAAGAAAACATAGTCTACATACTTGGTTTCTTTTAATTCTGCTCGAAGGAAATCACGGATAAAATCTTGTGTATAAGTAAATATAAGGGCAAAGTCTTCATAGTAATATTTTATATATTTTATTTACAACTTTGGTATAAAGTAGGAGGTCACAAACAATTATATTTATGTGGTCAATAGTAAATCAGAAGGGTGTGTTATTGGTTGCCATTATTGCTCGCCTCGGTAAACAAAGGGGCCGAAACTCGGTCACAAATATTATTGTATCAAATAGAAAAAAGATTAATTCGATTCGTTGGTTCATAGATTTTTTAATACGAAATATTACTGTTAATATAATAATAATGGGTTTTTCGATTTACATATGTACATTTATCCGATGTCCTTACGGTGAAGGAAAACATTATATAACCTGCAAAGAAATTCAAAGATATGTGTGAAGTCAAACCGCACTTCGTGAGTGTTGACTATGACCTAGTCACCCTTTTTTTTCTTTTTTTTTTCAGAGGTGAATGCTTTATGCATACTCCGCGCCCCGGGGGAGGCGCGGTATGTGGGATTCTCCTCCTTAGCGGAGGCATACCCGCTAAACCCCTCTGTTCCTCCAACGCATCGGGACGGGACCACGGGCACGCTATCGCTCTCGTCCGCGGCCCAATGACCTAGTCACCCTAACTTGGGCAGGCTCCGAGCCTCTTAGTGGGGACATATAGTGAGCCGATGATGATGATTACTGCTGAATTGTGTAATGACAACAGTTAACAGTGGTAGAGTCTGCAGTATTAGAGTCTGCAGTATTAGCTGTTGCAGGAATTGACCACACAGAACTCAAACGTCAAGTGAAAGTAGCTCCGCGCAACCCTTTTTGGATAAAGAATCACGTACCATTTTCCAATAAGGAAAGTTATTTGCTTTCTTTTGATATACTTTTTACTATAACAAAAGGAGTAGACAAAGAGAGTAAAAAGTTGATAACTATCGACTGCACTGTCATTAAATTCTAGTAAAATACTTCTATTAAGTTGGCAAGTTCTTTGCATAACAAGTAACTTATTCAATGAAGCCTTTAAGTCAATGGACCAAAGTTAAATGTTCAAAATTCAAACAAAAGGCGATCGAGAACTTTGATAATTAAGAAGCACTCATTCAAAAGCTCTCCATTAATTAACTTTTGCAGACATTTTTACTTATCAACACAAAGATTGTTACTATTCTAACCTTGGGTTTCTGAGTCGAAAATCTCCGTTTAAAAAGATATCGTAATATCCACTAGTAATAGACATGTGTAAATCAATTCTGAACCAGTTCAAAAGTTCAGCTCACATATACATGAACCGTTGAGCTGAGGTTCAACAACTGAGTATCACAACAAATCGCGATGTACTATAACTATGTGAGTTTAGCCGCGAACTGTTTGGCTATGCAGGTACTAATTGAGCTTATCTGTGAACCGGTTCACTGATCTGCCTAACAAATGTAAATCACGAACTGACTTGCAGATCTTCAATCATAGTTGAGTTACTATATGTCTCATCTCACACCGAACATACACTAATGCCAATGTACTGAAAACATCAAATAACGTAATAATAGATTAGATCATGACCAACCAAGGTTGATTGATCAAAATCTTCTCTGGAAAAATCTTAGTTTCTATTAATACATAGAACGAAACGTCATGACTACATTTTAAGCATAAAGTGACTTAGTGTTTTCTACTAACGAAACCATATCGCGTCGTAATCTACAACTACTGCCATCTATTAGTGACCTACGTAAATGCACAAAACTTAATACAAAAAGCGCCATACTTTTTACAATCTTACTAATATTATAAATGCGAATGTTTAGATGGATGTATGGATGTTTGCTTGAAGGTATCTCAGGTATGGCTAAACAGATCTCGCTGAAATTTGTCACAGTTGTAGAACATAGTCTGAAAGAACATATAGGCAACTTATAATTTTTTTTTAATTCCGCGCGGATGGAGTCGCGGGCGACAGCTAATGTTGTAATAATTGATCAAATATAAAATGTTAATTTATAGAAGAGAATTTGTTAACACTACTTGCGAAATTTTCCGTCTATAAATAGTGCGATCTGTTAGAAAAATTAAAGGAATTAAAAAAACTTTTTAAAAGTAGGTACACCTGATTATATAAATCTCAAAATACTAATTAATTAATAAATAAATAGATAAATCAGCGAAACGTTTTTGATTATTTGGTAACAAAAAAATAAAAAAAATATCTTTATTGTTATACACAAAAAAATCACATAAAAAGACGTTTGCATTTATTTTTTGGCTGGACTTTACTTGACAGTTGAATTCCATTTTTAAATATATTTCCCGTTTTTATGAACACAAACAAATACAAGTTTAACTGTATGTGCCGGTGTTTGGAAATACATTTTTTAACCGTTAACAAAACCGTTTTTAATCTAAGCTACTGCCATCTATTAAGTCTTAATAGACAACGGCACACTTCGTCATGAAAATTTGATTCGGATTGTGACCAGCCCAATTGCTGATCACATTCCTTTCAAGAGAAACTTTATCAGAAGTGGGATAATCGATGCATATACATATTAAGTCATATTGGTTTTTTGCTAACAAAACCAAATCGTGTTGTAATCTTTTACTACCGCCATCTACATGCAAAATTCAACACCTATAATTGCATTGCTCTAATTATAGACAAGACATATATTTTGTCATAGTAACTTTAATTTATTTCTGGATTTGTTATCCATCTTAAAAAATCTATTTAATACTTACCGAAAAATAGCAGATTGCATTCTTAACGCCATCTGTTAGAATATAATAAAATCAAATATGAAAAATCCAATATGATATTTTTAAATTAATTTATTTCTTTTTAATATCCTTGTACATTATGACAAGGTAGAGCCTTCCTAAAGCATCGCTATTTAAGTAACCTTTTGTTAATAAATGTAACATAGCCGGTTATCTTAAAATGAAGAAATAAATAGCACAAATCCTTCCACCGTTTCTAGTCGTTCCGTTCCGCCCCTTGTTCGTCACGCCGACTGACTTTGTTCCACTCCGGAACATAAATTACACCAAGCTACTTGCTAGCTTTTAGAGGCATTTGCTACAGCACGTAAAGTTTCACTAACTCAACCTAAACTCTTGTCATTATCAAAAAAAAAACTTTAGAAATCTCCATTGGAAAGATTTACTGTGTATAGTGTAGTAGATATTTAATATTACACACTTGGAACTGTCTATCGTATTGGTGATAATCGAATAGGTAGCCAAAGTATTCTCGTCCTTCAAATAATGTCCTTTTGGAAGAAAGAGGAAAGGACTAACTCATTATTTTCTTAGTATCCTGTATATCCTTTCTCTGGCCTGGTTTGGAATTTGTAATTTGAATTAATTATCTTTTCATGAGGCAAATATTATTTTTATTTGGAAATTGAAATTGTAACTAACTTCAGCTAGTTACAATTCTTTCTTGAAAAATCTTGTTTCTAAGTATGCGACAGACGTATAACGTCATAATAGTGCAAAAATTGTAGTGCTCAATCGCAATTGCATTTGAAGAACTAAGCATAGTGTGTTTTAAATTAGAGTTAACGCCATCTGTTGATGAAAAGCAACTGAATGTGAAAGGTTTTTAAATAAATACATTTCAAGGAGAACCTTAAGTTTTGTAATCAATTTAAACTAGTACAAGCTAATGGTACATTCCTAGTTTTTTCTCATCGAATCTTTTATAAATCGTTAATACTTTAAAATGTCAATATTTTTGAAATTAGAATTAATTTAAATGGAATGTCAGCGTTAAGTATGGTCAGCATAATTTATAGCGCTTGGTATAAAGTATCAAATCGTCTCCTCCCCGCTTATTTTTAAAAATCATTTTTGTCGTTTTAACTGAAAAGAAAATGAAAACCATATTTAATCGTAAAATAATCCATAACCAAAGAGTTTATTGTCTTATAGTAGAGTATTATTATTGTATTATAGTGGGAGTTGAGAGTGAGTATTGTCACTTTTGGTCTGTTCATTTGTGGTTTATTGTAATATCTTTAAGAGTGGTAAAACCCGCTTTAACATCTTCGCACGAATTGGCCAGGTTCGCCCTGTGAAATACCACCACCACACAGAAAACAGGCGTGAAGTGGAAGAAATTCCGCGTTTCGTCTGATGAGTGTGCATCCCGGACGCATAATTTAGTCCTCTTTCCCTTCCCACCCTTTTCTTATAAGGAAAGGATGGGAAGTGGAAGTGGACTTTCCGGATGAGAGGATGCATGGAAAGGGAAAATATTTTCTTTCTGTGCATCTTCTCCTCCGTCGATTTAAGGTAGGCAACGCATATGCAATTGCGTATGTCTATGGGCAACGGTCACTTCGCTATTTTAGCGATTTCAGGTGGCCGCTCGCTCGTTTGCCACCTTCTGATATAAAAAAAAAGTTTAAAACATAAAAATAACTATACCCGCGGTTTCTCCAAGAGTCAAATAATTTTTCGCCTTATTTTTTAATCGCCTTTTACCATTTTTAATATATTTAATTATGCTTCTTGAACCAAACATTAAAACTGTTTCGAAAATATTAAGACGATTTTTTAATTCCTTATTTGAAAGAATAATTTTACGCCATACTGGTCCAACCCTGGTGGCGTTACGGAGAGATGCGTCATCCAGATATCTAAAAAGTAATTAACTGAGTTTATTCAATTTTAATGTCATGCAGTAACCCAGCAATAAATATAAGGTATTTAATGCACAGCACTACATTCTTCAATCAAATCGATTTAAGGTTTTTTCTTAAATACCTTACATTTTAAGGATGTTTTTGTTAATAATTGGTATACTTACGATTATAAAACTTACGAAAATATTTTCCATGACATCTCCAGAGGCAAAGCAGATATTGAATCTCGTTTTCGTTCATCCCATAACGCAATACCAAAAACGAAAATACCCGAATTATCCATTAATTAAATAATAGTAGCCAGTCGCAATCCGTCGTATACACGAAATTATGTGTGAATAAAACGTCTTGTATAAAAATTTTAAATATTTATTACAATTCAAGGTCATGTCAGTTGAATGTTTTGCTTTTGCATTAATTTACTAATTTTAAATAATCGAAACAAAACAAGGATGTATTCTGATTTTAATGTGTTAATATTTATCGAACATTTTTTTAAAAGTAGATTATGTAAGAGCGAAAGATAAAAATCTATAAAATGGCTTTCGGAAATAACAACATGGCAACATTAGACAAATCAACAAGCGGCCCGCTGCCTGTGTTGAGGTCGATCTTCTTTCCTAAATATTGTTTGTAATATACTTTTCGATAAGTTTAAGGTGACCCTAAACATTACCTTTGATATCTGCAAGATTTTTGTATTTATCTTTATCTTTAAAACATTAGAAATTGTGTTGAGCAAAGATTTATCGGAGTGACAGATGTTTCAGTGATAAATCGCGCCAGTTTTCGACTAATTTCATAAAAATTACTTAAAAATGGAAGAATCGACTGTCCAAAATGTGTCTGACGTTGATACCGAAAACCGAGTAACAGGTAGTGTTCTATTTTCATAATTAACTTGAGAACAAGAAACGCGGTTTATTTCGGATTAACCGACTAAATCAAATGGGCGTCGGAAACTGCAACGAGTAGTGAATTAATTCAGTAATTATAAAGAATCTTGGATTTTAAGTGAAATTTACGATGATTATTTAGAATTTCAAATAGCTAAATAGTTTGCTATTAAAATAGTAAGTGGTAAAATTATTTTATAGAGACAAGAATTAGAAAATGACATGTTTGTATTGGAATGCCTATTTAATTTGGTACCATTATACGTGAACCAAACATTACGACCAACGATTAGGATGAAAACCATGAACATAATATAAACACTCATAATTAATCAATATCTGTAATTACGCACTACATTTCTTTAGGGAAAAGTAGATGTAAGAAGTGTTACTTTAGTTCTAATCACGAGTTTTTTTGTGAAATTAAGGTTATTCGCGTCTATTACGCTTCAGTTTTCATAAGTTCATATTTCAAAACCTCTATGTTTATAATATGTACGAATGCGAAAAAGTATTGAATAGCGAAGCGGGGAAGATATTGTGTAAGATTTTTTCATTATATAAGAAAAAACAATATGGGATGTTTGGAGGGATGGAAAACTTGATTAGTCCTAAGATCTGTTTACTAACGAAACTGTGTCACCTACAAAGTATAAACTTCCTGAAATCTAAAACGACACAGCATAACTCAGTAAACAATTATGTACAATTTTAATTAAAAAGGAAAGCATATAACTAGAAATTAAATAATTTGGATATTTAATATCTAAGCATGCACCTCTCCATTATGTTTTACCTATTTATATTTTTTGTCTAGCTAAAATTGACTAGACTTATAGTCATGCCCAGAGAGGTTGCAATAGTGACATTTCGCCAACCTTGTTATAATCTTTTATCAGACTAAATGTTTGTACTAGCTGTTCCAGACTAATATAACTCTATTACAAATTTCATTAAAATCCATTGAATCATTTTGTATCTTAAAACTTACTTTTTCTCTATAAATTTCAGATCCGGTTGTGGAGCGGGCTGATGACATCTTGGAAGCTGTGGATACTTCCCAATCCTTGTTTCCTGAGAGCCCGGTGTATGAACCCAATGAAGAAGTTGATTCTGGAATCCCTGAGGTATTTTTAACTTCGTGAGAGAGATAAAAACATATAAGTTTTTCTATTGCTTGTTTACAATGCAAATATATTTTTAATTAATTATTGTTATTTATATCAACAATGTTGTATTCATATTAATATTTTATGGATTTCACATAAGAATATTCATACAATTCATACACATTTTAATTTATATGTATTGTATAAAGTACACTTTTACCTGAATAAGCGAGAAACCTCTAGAAGTGAGAGTCTTTGTCCAGTTCCGACGGATTGACTCAGTGAGCGAGAAACTTGGGGTCGAGAGACACCACGCAATGTCTGATATCATTAATGTAATTCTAATTTTATTTTTCTACAGAAGGAGAACATATCGGAAGAATTAGAAGCTACAGGTATGTATTCTAAACATACTCTAAGAGCCCCCGCACACTAGAGCCCTAGTCGCCTTCATCTTTTTATATGGTCAAGTATGACCATCATCATCAGCTGACTACATGTCCCCACTGAGGAGCTCGGAGCCTACCCTAAGTTAAGGGTGACTAGGCCTTAGTCAACCACGCTGGCCCAGTGCGGGTTGGCTGACTTCACACATATCTTTGAATTTCTTCTCAGATACGTGCACGTTGCATCACGATGTTTTTCTTCACCGTAAGAACGTCGGATATGTACATTACATATGTAAATCGGAAATCGAAAAACACATTGGTACATGGCGGGATTCGAACCCCGGACCTGCAGATTGCAAGTCAAGGGTTGAAACCCTTGAGACACCGACGCTTTCATGTCTCAGTATGACCATATATGAATATAAATCAGTAGATTAAGTGCACAAACTATCGATCGACTAAAAGTCTAGTTTGTGGAGGTTATTAATATAGTTATTTGCTTTTAAAATATTTATTAAAAATTATACATTTGTAACACAAATTAATTTAAAACTTTACAACTTATAGGTGATCCGCCAATAACAACGGTTAAAAGAAAACTCTCCGAAGAAGTTCTTGAAAGTGATGCAAAAGTACAAAAATTAGAAATCATAGATATAACCGATGAAACTATGATATCTACTCAAAATTTAGACGATGAGGTATCCGAAATTACTGCAACTGAACAAATAGAAGGAAAACCTACTACCTCAAGATTGCGTACTCCAATTGAGTCCAGTCCAATGAAAATCAAACGCAGCAACAGTGTGGAAGTAAAAACGATTAGTACACCAAAGATAAAAAGATCTGCAAGTGTTGATATTACTAAATCACCAAGTAAAGTCAAAATTAATCTAAATGAAATCCCAACATCAGATTCCATACAAACTATTAGTATGGATTCATACAGTTCAAGACCCAGCGTTGAATTTGTGTCTGAAATACCTTCAATTAAAATACCAGAGACAATTGTTGAAGAGAGCTCTGAAATTAATGATTCACAAGATTTTCATTTACAACTTTCACCTACTTCTGATATTGAGGCAACTGAACAAAAACCAGAAAGCAAAACCCATTATAATAGTGACCCTGTGGTAGTTAAAAATAGAGAAGAGATTCTAGATCCAGGTAAAATTCAACCTTCGAGAAGCGAAGGATACAATTACTCTGATTTGAGTAGCAATTTGTCTCAAACACTCCCAAAAGATTATAATAAAGGTAAATCTACAGACCAAGAAAGCACCGATAGCGCCTGTTCTGTTATCTTAGACAGCCCTGAACATTTACCTAGCGTGCCTTCAAAACTAATTTCTAAATTATCCAATGGAAACTCTTCCACACCAACAGAAATACCTCATACGAAGCATATAGAAGACAGCGATGGTACACCTGATTATGTTAAACTAAATGGTAGAAAAATGAAAAAAGGTAAAAATGAATCTTTCAGAGCTAGCAACACTACGACACCATCGACAATATCTCCTCTACAAAATGGCCACTCATTACCCATGAGTACACCGCAGATACCATCATTCGATATCCATGTCAGTCACAATGAAGACTTTGAATTCTTATCATTGTACATCGTTAGAACTGACAATGATACAGGAATAGAAATGTGTAAAGAGTACCAGAGAGTTTCGAAGAAGTTCTCCATAGATCCGTACTTGGGAGACGTGTCCATTAGTACATCACCATCCAGTGTTACCAGTACGGGAATGTTAAATCTACCGAATAGAATCTCTTTCGCATCTACCGTCAGTTCATCATCGACTTCAAGTAATAGAACAAGCGATGGAGCATTTGTTGTTCCTCAACCACCAAGAAAATCTGTTTCAAACCCGAGTGTGTCCGTCAAAGGATATGATGCTTTAATGAAGAAGTTACACGACATATTTTCGCACCTCCGAGACACTTCAATAGATGAAGGGAATCGTTCTCTAGCCGAAGATAAAGTATCCATTGGCATCCAAACATTATCAAGTGAAACTATCAGTAATGGGAATGCTAGTCCTGATGAAGTCAGTAAATGTGATAAAGCAACGCCTAAGAGTTCATTAAAAAAGACCCGAGTTAGAGGTCGCAGACATATGAGCAATAAGACCAAACGGGCAATATTACCAACTCAAACCGAAGAACCTGAACACATGCATGGTATGAATTCACCAGAAATGGTGCCAACTAACGGAGACAGTGGGAAAATATCACCAATAAAATCTCCTAAAGACGAGAAACCGTTATCAACTTTAGTGGGAACACCAAAATCTATTAGTAAATTGAAACAAAAACGTCGTCCAACATCTCCAAGACCGGCCACTCCTGTAGAAAAGGTTATAACTAAACCAGAATATCCCGGTTACCCTCCGGACACGGTAGTCTTAGCTAAATGGGTTGATAAACGTTATTACTCCGGTAAAGTACTAGAAATTACTGAACCTAATAAATATTTGATTAAATTTGATGACGGACAAAGTAAAGTATTGTTGGATGAATTTATAATATTCGGTGATATGAAGAAGTTACCATTGCAAGGTCAATCTGTGTATGCTTTGGTAGATGAGGAACAGAATTATGAGCCGGGACTAGTCCTCGGTGTTGAAGAGAACGATAATGGCACTGTTACTTATAAATGCACTACTGATGGGTAAGTTTATTTATCTAAATAAAAGAAAAAAAAATTAATAAACTATGTGTTCTTCCAGACTATATTCTACATTTATACCAAATTTCATCAAGATCTGTTGATTAAAAAATTAAACAGTAATTTTTTGAAACTACCCTCAATTAGATCAAATACTTTAAAATTGAAAACAACGCCATCTAGTAACGAAAAATTAAATATAAATTATTTTTTTAACTTTTCAGTATTGACACAACAGTCATGGTGACAGCAAGTGAGTTGTACTTGACGGAAGATCAGGCGAGATCCATCAAGGAGACCTCTAGGTCCAGGTCCCCCACCGCGCCCTCTACACCCAGGCGACGACACAACAGGGAACTAGATCTAGATAATATTATACAGGTACATTTTAAATACATGTTTTTTTCAAATCCACTCTAAACTATTTAAATTTCATTTGACAAATTTATGTTAGTATACCAATTAAAGTACAAGATTTTCACTCAGAGTCATTAAAGCAATCCTTTAGTGAAGATATTCTCATACTTAGAGATAAAAAAATTCATTGAATTTAACAATGAATGATAATTTATTATTGTTTCTAAATTAAAATGAAATGAACCTTTTCAGGGCCCGCGAAGTGCACGTACTCGAGACAAGGGAAACTCTAGCGCAAGAAAACGTGTCGCCTCACCAAAGAGCCCTAAAGCATCTACATCAGGTATGTTATAACTGAGTTCTCATTGATGAAACACAATACAAAAACATCTCATACATTTAAATTGAAAAAACAGACATCCGACTCGAAGGACCATTTGATTGGTCCAAAGAATTTGTTGGGGTAATAATAGAATCGCAAAAGACTGAAGATTAAATATTTTAAACTATAACACCACACATTTTACGCTGACATTACGAAATACAACAAAATATTACATGAATATGAAGTTCACTATCAACATTATAGAATACTAGCTGTCGCCCGCGAGACCGTCGGCGCGGTATAAAAAAAATTAGTCTATCTGTTCTCCAGACTATGTTCTACATCTATGCCAAATTTCATTTAGATCCATGCAGCCGTTCTTGAGATACTTTCAAACAAACATCCAGACATTCGCATTTATAATATTAATATAGAACATGAAGAAATATCATCAAATATTATACTCTAGGTGTGAAGACAAAAAGTACTCCAGTAAGTAGAAAACGTTTAGCGAGCGAAAGTAGTGAGATCAGTGAGAGTTCTAACTCAGCTCCGCCGACACGACTCGAGGAAGTGGCCGGTGTTGAACCCGAGGTGCAGAGGACTCCCAGGAAGATCGATGGTGTTAAAGGTATCAGCATTTCTGACTCACTACTTTAGTAACACTGTCTCAAGCTGTCTCCCGCGATATCCGCATGGATTTAATAAGTAGCTTATGTGTTCTTCAAACTATTTTCTACATTTTTGCCAAATTTCAACAAGATTCCATGAGCTGTTCCCGGAGATATCTTCTAACAGACATTCATCCATCCATCTAAACTTTCACATTAGTAATTTCGCATTAGTAAATTGTAGATTATTTTAAATTCACCATCATTATCAGCTTACTTAGTTTAGTTTAGTCAACCATGTTTGCCCAGCACGGGTTGACTTCACACATCTTTGAAATTTCTTCGCAGATCTTTTTAATTACTTAAGATATTGCTTACAACACGTAACATTTTCTTCATTCTTACATAAAATTCGATAGCGTTCTTAAAATAATAAATTGTTAGAAATAAATTCAATAAAAAAAAATATTTATACAACACGTTGCCACTCTTCACACTTTAAATATTGTTATCTTCCATCCCTCTCACACTTCCACTATAATTTGTATCTTTCTTCTTCCCACACTTGTACTGATCTTACATTCTATACTTATTAAGGTACATACTTTCTAACATACTTTTATTACGTATTTTCCAGCCGGACCTCTACAATTAAAAGGCGCGGCGAAGCAGAACATCGGCAAGAAAAATTCCAAACTTGCAAAGTTCGAGAATGACGCGGACACATGCAACACGCTCGGACCAATTGTACGCGACACCAAACTGTTTGAGGGGCAACACTTCCTGCTTACTTGTACTGACACACCCAGACGAGAGGCCATGCCAAAGGTAATTAAATTGTGATTTTTTTTACCTAAATCTCAGAAACAAATACGTTATTTTCTTAAGGTGAGTATACACTGGAGCATTTACTTGTAACAGAACAACGAGCGGCTCTATATGGTCTAGTATATTACACTTTCACAAACCAGATGACCTTTGAAAACTGCTTTTATCTATATTGTCATTACATAGAAATGCTCAAGAAAATGCTCTAGTGTATATCCACCCTCAGCGATTACTACGTCTTGCTTTATCTCGATTGGTCAAACTTTGTAGATCACTTTTGTCAAACTTATTCTCAAACATTGGTCAGTTAATGGACCGTATTGGCCAATCTTATGTCCCATTGGTCAAACATATTAGTCATACATTGGCCTTATATCGATCACTTGACCAACAAACTTAATTATTTATAAAATTAATTAATAAAATTACTTTTAGTTCCAAGAAAGTCGTCACTATTCGTCAGAAGATGACAGCGAGGCGACGTCAGCGCTTACAGGAACTGATACTGAGGACCTGGTGTTCTGCGATAAGCCATTTAACAAGGAGCGACTTAAGGAGCAGTTGGAGGCCGGTGGTGGAATTGTACACAGGTATAATGCATTTATAATAAGAATTTCCTTGAAACCTTCCCATTTCTTGACGTCGTAGTGTTAGTTAAATAGATAGGGTTAATTAAACAAACACTTTTTTTGAAAATAATGTTTACACTGATATTTTTTATTCAAATCTAAACTTTTGTAGCGATTTTTCATAGATCATTGATTTGCATGTTTCTAAAGAAAACATTGCTTCATGTAAATTTTATGTCAACTTAAACCATACTTTAACTAAGTCACCTTGCTAAGTAACACAAATAACAAAATTATAAGTTACTAGCTGTCGCCCGCAACTCCGTCCGCGAGAGTTTAAAAAATAGATGGTAGCCAATTCTCAGACATACAGTATATGCTCACAAAATTTCATGAGAATCGGTCAAGCCGTTTTGGAGGAGTATGGGAACGAAAATTGTTACACGAGAATTTTATATATAAGAGAATTATAACCCATATTTGTGTATAAAGACAAGATCCATCCTATTGATGTTGAAATTTTCCAGTCATTTCGACGACGTGCCAAAGAGCAAATATTCTGTATGCAAGCTGATCGCCCCACGGCCGTGCCTCACCGCAAAGTATATCCAGTGCTTAGCCGCTGACATCCGGGCACTGTCTCACGGCTGGGTCATATCCAGCTGTCTGCAGCAAACAACACTGGATACTGACGCATTCGTTTTGCCAGCTGGATGGTCGATACTGAAGGATTCGTTCATTAATTGGGTATGTATTACGAATATGTCTATACCATGTACCAAGGTATTTTCGATTTACATATGTACATTTATCCGACGTTCTTAAGGTGAAGGAAAACATCGTGATGCAACCTGCAAATCTAAGAAGAAATTAAAACATATGTGTCAAGTCAAACGGTACTGAACCAGCATGGTTGACTATGCCCTAGCCACCCCTAACTTAGAGTAATTTCCGAGCCCCTTGGTAGGGACTTATATTGGGATAGAGGAATGGATGACCATGTCCTTTTGATTACATTTGAAAAATAATAAGAATGGTAAAAATAAAAAAATAAAACATATTAAAATATATTATAGTCGTACCAGGATTATGGAAAAACTGGACAAGCAAGAAACTTCTATAAGCGACAAAAATATCGCTTGGGCTCGCTCTTAGCAAGATTTGACTATAATTTTATGTCCTATACACTAATTTGATTTTAATACTTTCAGGTCCCACCATCAGGCAAACGTAATTCAACATTCTTCAAAGACAAAGTCATCCTGTTATGTTGGGAACAGGACACATTCGTTAAATTCTGGGAGAGAGTGGCAACCCTAGCGGGGGCCACCACCAGGGTTGTCAATGAGGAGAACCTGAACATGTCAGGAGCATTTGCCTTGGTCACTGACTGTGATTGTCCTCACGAGGTCCAGAATAAGGCGAATCAAGACAACATTCCGTTAGTGTCCACAACTTGGGTTGTTCAATGCCTGATTGAGGCAAAAGTGCTCGCTCCTACCAGCCACGATAAGTTTTCATTTATGTATACGGAGCTCGAATGATCCTGGGACTTCAAAAAGATCCTCATTATACGTGATTTTTGACACTAAAGAGGTTTCTTTACGATAGTGACGTTCAGTGATTAGTGATAAGTGATGTGTCCCGAGTGGAATAACACTTTATTGGTAAGTGATGTGAATTTTGTTATTTCTTTTTTTATTTAAATATATTTAATAGCTTTACAATATTATGTGCGCAGTTCCTTGACAATTATTAAAATAATTTGATTTTCGCAAAATAATAATTACTGAATAAATAACTAAATGACATTAAATTATTACAAATTTAAGATCAAAAATAGCTTTGATTATTGCATTAAAATTATTTTCATGTTTTTTCATTCAACAAACAATATTTAGTTTTCTTTTGAAGCCTAGACAAGAATACTAGTTTCCACAGCCAAAACATCTAAGCAAAGACATCTTGCCATCTCTATTTTTGTTAAAAGAGTGAAAAAGATGAGAACATGTTTTGTAACAATTATTTTAGCTGTGGAAATGATTAAATTTATTATATCTCTGCTTACCCTACTAGATTATAAACTTGATTTTTTTTCATGTCTGGGTCTTTTAACAGGGTACAATTAACCCTGACAATTTTTTTTAAATTATAATAAAGACCCTTCATTAAGAAAGGCTCAAAGGCCTTCATCAGAAGGTTACTACTACAACTTGAGTTGTGAAATGGTGACTTTCCAGCACTTTTTATATTAATTGTGCACTAATTGACATCATTAATGGCCGCTAATAAATACGTAAGGGAATTATAACTCTGAGTATGGTCAGATTGCCCTTAATAGGTGGGTGACGGGTTAAAATTATCCCTTGATCCCTTGAAATTGTTGTATTTCTAGTTGTAAAATATAGTATTGTATTCTAACAAGATCTTATTCATAAATTATTATCAAAAGTATATAATGTGAAATTAATTATTATATAAGATTTATGTAAAATGTCAATCATGTAAATATAAAGAATATTTCCTATGACATATTAAATTGTACTAAATTACATATTAATACAAAGTTTTTAACTTTGTCCATTTGAATTCATATTACAAAGTCTAAGCTAAACTAAAATCTTACTAAAACTTCTAAATCATATGAATATTTAGCGTAAAAAATTTAATATATTGCCTGAAAATTGGCATTATAAATGTTAGTAAATTGTCCAATGTATGTATGACCAGGAAAATAGAAAACATTAGGTCATCGCTTTTATAAGTTTGCAAATTAGTTCTATATTTCCGTAATATGAGGTTTTTCATATTACTGGTCAAACTATAATCTATATATTGTCATGTAGAAATTATATATTTAAGACTTAAATGTTGTAATTAAAATTGATATGTAAGTGAAAACTAAATTGTGCTTGTATATTATAATGACGGACAAGTAGGTTTTTTCGTCTTTATTTTTTCAGAAAAAAACTGTGAGTTGGTAATTTGTAGATGGCGTTGTAACTAAAATGAAACATTTACGTCAGTATTATGAAGTGTATTGTCATTTCTGATTTGGTTCAAAATCAAAGTTAAAAGAATTGATTACATAACTGTGAATAAGTGTAAAGTTAAATAAAATTTTAACTGAAGTTAAATTTCTACAAACTCTCATCTCTTACAATCTCTTTGGAAATGCTGAGACATCTAGACTCGGTCAACAAGAGATTAAGTTTAATAGGGATAGGGATTGTTTTGCATTTAGTCTAGATTTCTAATTAGACCTGGGAGGCCTATACTATGTAAATTATTATATTGACATAACTAATTAAAAAAATAAAAAGTCAATCTAATTTGATGTGTCTAATATTAAAACACATGGCAAATAGTCATTTTCTCAATACAAAACGTTAATTCATTTTTTTTTTCGTATTTTACTATTAATTCTTACATTTTTTTCAATCTTTGTTTCTTCTAGCAGTATCTATATATTATATTTTCAATAAATCTTTGTTTCTTTATGTAGTTTGTAAAATTTGATTTTACTTAAAACCTATCATCAAATATAGATCTTTAAACAAGATATAAGGTATTGAACAAATCTATTTAGTATTAATCTTGTATTAAAAATTATAAAAAAACATAATTTTTTTCGTTAAAATTTGTGTTGTGTATTATAATTTATTTTGTTTATGTTTAATCTTTGTCAAATCAATGACTTTAGATAATAATTGTTGAAATAATTATAGTTTTAAGTTAAGGAATGTATAAGTACGAAAAATGATATTGCATGCCGCTAGCCCACTTGTATTAAAAACATTGATATCTCTCTTAGGAGAGATTTATCTCTCTCATATGAGAATTTTCTCTCTTGTGAGATTTATATCTCTTAAGTAAGATATATTATGATGAGCATATTGTTATCTCTTTCGAGACACAATATAAAATATGTTTTTATGCAAATATTTCGGCAGTGGAACAAACAGCATGATGTAACTAACATAGTAAGATGAAGCTATACTATGTTTGGCTTAATTTTTTCTATCGCTACTTAATGACGAACTTTTTTGTACACTGTACAAATGTGACATCATCAATCTTAAGTTTTTATAGTTCAGTTGTATTGTTATTTAGAATATTTTTGCTCTTTCATGCTTTAAGTATGCAGAAGTAGACAATTAATTTTTAGTCCAATTGTTAAATAAAGTGATCCTATAAGGGTTCCGTTTTTTCCTTTCTAGGTACGGAACCCTAAAAATGTTCTGTCCTGTCTGCTGCTCTGTCAATTTTTTATACAATATAAAAGTAAATATTTTCTTTGCTTTCCTTTTTTATAGAATTTATGTTTTTTTTGTTTAATGCGCAATTTGTAAATAGCTTTTTTTATTGTTTTCAAAATTGTGTCGTTATGTTTTTTTATGAAATTAGTTTTTTTTGGCATTTCTTCATGACAGCTTGATATTTGTTAATTTGTTATAACAATATTGTAATTATAATATTTGTTATAATTTAAACTCGCTTTTGTAAGACTTTGACTGCTTGAGATGCATTTTTTTGGATAATTTTGAAATGTGAACTGACGTTATACATGAATCGTGTAGTGTATGTGAAAATTAAATAAGTGTATAAAATATGTACTGTAAATAGTTTTATTTCGCTTATAAAAAACATTAGCTGTAGCCCGCGACTCCGTCAGTGCGGCATTGAAAAATATTAGAAGCCTGTGTCTTCTTCCAAACTATGCTCTACATATATGCCGAATTTCATCAAGATCTGTTAAGCTGTTTTGGCAATAGCTTGAAACAAACATCCATCCATCCTTCCATCAAACATTCGCATTTATATTAGGATTGACATTGATTTGGCATATGCGTATAATAGTAATAGCTAAAAGTACAATTAGCGCCATCTATGAATGAAATCAAAAAAACAATTGTACTTAAAAAGTTGTAGAAAAATAAAATTACAATAGATGGCGCTGTTCCTACATACCCGTGCAGCCTTTGTTAATTTTTCCGAAAAAATAAATAAATTTTATTACATTATTGTTTTATTCTTAATCTAATTAAACTTACATAATTATTTGTCATTAGGAGTACTGGTACTTATATACAGATGTTTTCCTTTCGAAACAACACATACATATATAACATTATTTAAGCCAACAAAAAAAAAAGGGTTTTAATGCAAGCTTTCGTATTAGGTATAATTCCAAAGAGTTTCATTAACATAATATAGTAATTACAAATAAGGGCAGTTATAAACCAATTATATGACATAATTATCAACTTTTATAATTACAAGCGTAGATCGCATGACAAAAAACAATTGCCCGATTTCATTAAGGTCAAAAGATCGCTTACAAAGGTGCACTAATTAGGTATTCCTATTCGATTTGCATACAATAGATGTCAAAGTTCTCGTAACAATGATAATGCCATCATCCATTATCACCTAGCAATGTTATTGACCCCGGGGGTGACATGATAGGAATGTCATCGTATTATAAAAGTGTATCATTTTAACCCTAGGCCAGCATAGGGCCAGGCATAAAGGTTATATATATAAAAGCATTTAACAAGACCATATACGCCCAGTTAAACTTTGACGGGGTGGTTCGGTGGTCGTTCAAGGATGCAGTGTTAACATTGGATGGATTTGTGTGTGCTTTATCTATAATTCAAGTGTTTTCTCTCTAATCTTCTTTAGGTTTCAATATATCGTATTATGAATTAAGAAGAAGACAATACAGGATACCTAAAAGCTATCTTTGAAACATTGTTGCGGTTTTTTAAAGCTCTCTCGTTCTCTTTATTTTATTTATTCACTTTCTGTGCATCGTTTACCCATTCCTAAGGGTTTTTGTCCAACTCTTGTTGGGTGTTTAATATTTACTTGACACTACATAAACCAAACTCATGGCTGTAATTATAAAACTTTGTAGCAAACTTGAATAAACTTAAAATTAGTTAATGCTTCTGCACGAAGGTAGTTAACTTCGCTTACGCCTTTCTTCAAAATGTATTTGTATCGAACTTCTTGACTGCAGAACTTATAGCCCTGTAAATAAACAAAACGAATTAAAACTGATCTTTTGAAATATTAAAAATCTGACGTGATAATCGGTTCAAATATTTGTAATTTTCAAATCGATTCTTAAATGCGGATTTGTCTTTCTTCTTTTGTATTGTCTTGTGTAGTCTTTGTCACGTAATTAAAATATATCTTTTTATGTCTTGTCCTTCGAAATCGGAATGGGAGATCCGAAGGATCCTATGTCGCATATATATTTGAAATATTTTATGTAACTAACATATTGCATTTACATATGTACATTTATCCGACGTTCTTACTGTGAAGGAAAACATCGTGATGCTGCACATATCTGAGAAGAAATTCAAAGATATGTGAGAAGTCAATCAAACCGCACTTGGCCAGCGTGGTTGACTATGGCCTAATCACCCTTAACTTAGGGTAGACTCCGAGCCCCTCGGTGGGGACGTATAGTGAGCTGATGATGATATCTTGCATAAATTGAAATAAAATATATCGTATTATATAAATATATAATGAAAAAATCAAACTTAACATTCGGTTAAATATTAATTACGAAAACACCAAAGTGAGTTCAATATTTAACATGACCATTATACGTAAGATAAATTGTACGTGTGTGAGAGCCATCTATCGGATATTAACCGAAAACGTCTTATCGTAGAACTTCACGGAGTTAAAGTTTATCAAAGAATTGTTTAATTA